AACAATTTCGGGTTTTCCAATTATTAAAAATGTTCATAGTATATTATTATAAAATAGTCTGTAAGTCAAAAAGACTCGAACTTTTTTAAAATTGAATTCTATACATTTAAAGTAAATTGTTATTCCATATATTTTAGTCAATAGTTTTAGTTAATTGTGCATAAATTGATAAGAAAAAACCAAAATAATTAAAATTATGTCGTGTGTATTTAGTTTGGGCGTTTTACTCTTTTACCTTCATATGGCCCGCAATATAAAATTATCACAGACTCGTAAAAAAAAAAAAAAAAAAAAATCATCAACTAAAAGACAATATAACTTCAATTTTTTTCCAAATCTAAAAAATGACAAACTTTATAGAATTTAAATGTTGATTTGGTTTTGATTAATTCGACTTGCGTATCTCTGCACATAAGTATAAAATACACATTATAACAGTAAGTAAACTGAACAATCTTAGCAAAACAATAGTTATAACTTATAATATCCTTGGAGTACATTATCGGTGTAAATAGAATTGTGAACGAGACGAAACTATTGATATACATAATGCGATTGTATAAAATGTATAAATGTTTATAGGTTATTGTGTGTATCTGTGTGAGACTCATAAAAATAATTTTGATTTCCTATCGCGCATCGCTGTTGCGATTATAGTATTTTAGAATGGCGGTCATGGTATATAATGAAACGCAATTTGTTTGTATACGTAATTATCAATATTTGTTAAAAAAATAATAGTAATTGTGAAAAATAAATGAAATTTATTTGTCTAGCATCCATCGATTAATTTTTTACTTGCAGTTCATAATATCGTATTTGTGTACGGTCGCATGTAATAGTAATAGACATATTAATAAAATTATTGTATATTATTTTTTATTGGCAATAAACTAATAAAATAAAAAAAATAGATACACGTAAATCCATTTGTATCATTAATTTTATGATAATATAGTTCCTATACGGCTATACAGCGTACTATGATAATGTTTGTGAACGTAGTTAACAAAGTATAAATCGGTATAATGTTTTTTGTTAAATTATTCAGATACAGTTAAACAGAACAATTTTGTGACACGACGTCTTGTATTAAAACTTTGGTTGAAATCATGTGTCAGGCACAACTAATTTAAAGGTACAATTAACCTATATAATGTAGTTTCTGTATGAGGAAAAATTGATTAACATAATTTACCAATTTGGGTGAGAGGGTGGTTGACATGTTGTGTTTTCGAAATTGTTTAAGACATGTCAAACTGGAATGCAAGAAAAACATTATAGTCTGGAATCCGTATTCTTTAGGCGACAAGATAAGTTATTGATTGTTATCATGTCGTGTTATTATTAAATTAAATTTCATTCACACCTCTACGGACTACGTCACAACTAAATCACAACTCCACTAGTCAGACGCGGGATACGGGGAACCTCTTAGCTGACATACTAGCGGAAAAATCTGTTACGTTCGGCTGACGTGGTACGAACCGAGTCAAAGTATTCGCAATACATCCACATACAACGTGTAACTGCGATCGTAAACAACTAGTTTTCGTCAAATCGTAACCGAAATCATCACGACAATTATTATGATATGTATAGCATACAAATATAGGCAAAAAGTCACATGTTTTAAAATTAAATCTTTAAATTAATAACTAATGTCACTCCTTCTACTAACCAAATTGATTTATGAGAATGTTATTTTTTCGACGATTTTAATTTTGTGCATATTCTCACGAAGAAAACATTCAATGATATAATATTCTTTCTCTCGACGACGTAATGTAATTTCAATATTAAAATATTCTCTCTCTCTCTCTCTCTCTCTCTCTCTCTGAATTTAAAACTAATCAGCAAGATCTAACTATACTTAATGTATCGACTTTTAATAATATTTAATAATGTATAATAACGAAAAATAATTTTGAAGAATGAATAATGATGTTGGTCCAATGGCCTTAGATGTTGCGGACTTTGTTCTAATAAAAAAAATCTCCTCGAGGCCTGCAGCGTGGGTAGATGTGTGAGAAATGTGTATATTATTTTGTTCTTAATAATATTATTTCTGTGTCGATAAATTAGTATTCCAAATAATATGTATATTATATCATTATTAAATGCGATCGGAAATCCCCGTGGGCCGTGCGTGGGTGTCACTTTTGAAATCTTTTGTTTATTGTTCCTTTATGTATTATTCGACTATGTGCGCAATATAATTAACGATGTCTGCGTAGTCCGTACTGAAAGATATACTTATAACATTTTTTTTTTTTTTTACAACAGTGATACAAAAAATAAAACCCCTAAAAATGTATCTATAATAATTCTTTTTTAAAATTAAATATATAGTAGTATAAAATTAAAAATGAGTTTAAATTCGTCGTTCAGGTATATATTTCAATACGCGTCGATGGATGCGTCATAATCCATTGAACGGTAATAATAATTAATTCGGATAAAGTACTTATTACTGCATTTATTAATTTTGACATATAATATATTATTTCTATGTATCTATATGCCATAAATAAATAAATAATAAAAAATTAAAAACTGTCAAATTACTAGAATTTTAATTTGTTGGAAAAACATCAAAATACTTAATACTGGTAAGTGGTAACCACGTTGGTTATACAAAAACGGCGGGGATTTCTGAAAGTTTGTGAACGGTTCAATTTTTATTATTCGAACAAAAATTACTACCAATAGTTGGTATTGCTGCAAGTCTGCAGATTGGTTGGTATCGATTTTAATTTCAGAAAACGCTTTATTATTTATATAGTCGCTGGTATTTAGATTAAGATGACGTATGTGCTAGTTTTTTTGACGAATACAAATTTTGTCAAAATATTATAATCTTTAAGTGCAAAGAGATGAATTTTTCAACACACTTTTCGGCCACCGCTGGAAACTATTACAGTCTTACTTTGACAAATTTAACGGATGACCCTCTTAGAAAACAAAGGTATGACTAATCCGGTATAATATATCTATCATCTATTTTATAATATAAATATTACAAATATTATAATATTCTATCATAGCACGCGTTGTTAGTTAATCGTTAGTACTTGTTTAAATACTTGTATAATATCGTTAGGTATAATTTTGTTAATGAATTAATCTTCTGATTATACGAGCACCGGTAAACTATTTTTTTTCCCGCTCGATCATTCGCCGTTTACTACAAAATATCTAAACATAAACATCATTATAATATATTGTGACGTAGATTTGTGGGAGTGCTGAAGGAGTAGTAGTATAATAATTAACAAGTGAGAGATTCAATATTTTGTCACAAAAAATTAAGAATGTACATAACTAAATATTTTTTAAAGTTTTCTTTTTTTTTTCTTTTTAAATCTATACCTAAGAGGCACAATATTTTTTAAAGTTAATTACTTATTTATATTATATCATTAAAGTATAATTTATTATTAATTAATGTATAAATATAATATGCATCATAATTTACAATAATATAATAATATAGACAATATAGTTAATTTATATTGTTGTCTGACCGAAATTAAATAAATAAGATAATATTCAATAATTACTTACCTACATTCTATATTCTTATAATATTTATATTTGATACGGCTAATTAAAGCAGCAGAAAGTAGGTTAATTAATTGTCTAAATAACAAATAAATTCAGTTTAAAGTCATGCAGGCATTATTAAAACAATTTTTTATTTATTTATTAAATTTTATTATTGTTTCAAAATAATCTTTGATTTTACAATTTTATTAAAAATTTAAAAAAATCAAAGAATTGGACACCTAGATTTGTTACTTTACCATTCAACGGTAGAGATAATTTTTCATAGAATGTTAATTGCATAATCACCATATCATAATTGTTTTATTATAAAATTCATGTTTAGTTTTTGGATGGATAGAAGATATGGACAATTTTGAAAACCAACGCATTACTGACAATGTCGTGTAAATGTTATGCACATATCGCATTAACGAAAGCTTCTACACGGGCAGGTCAATGTACAGCCTGCAGGCATGGGGTGAGATGGATGAATAGACCATGGGAGAGAGATGATGATAGAGGAAAAATATTTTGAGGAGATATGTTCACGTGCAACTATACGAATCTATTGGGAATGTAAAATATTTGTATACGTTTTCAATGTGAGAGAAATGTCGTCGTATTTCCCGAGATTCTACGCTCTTGTACTCATATTTCCACCGATGAATTTATTAGAGGGAAAGTGTTCCCTCATGGCTCATACCACCATCGACGTCAAACATACTTTGTACGTGCGTACTTTTTGAGTAAACAATACATAGTGTGTTTTACTTAAATAATTATATCAAATGTTCCAGTCGGATAAATTTTGAATAAAACCTGAATTTTTCGAGGAAAATAAAGGATGGGTACTAAATTAAAACATTTATAACTGGTGTAATCGGTGAAAGAAAAAATGTCAGTTTATAAATTTAAATTTAGTGTGAGGGATGTTTATTTTTCATTTATAATAAGAATATTGTTTTTAAAACTATTACATTAAGGAATTTAGAGGAAGTAGGAACAGAGAGAACTGGAGGGTTGCCTGGTTTTTGAATGAATATCGAGGAAAAAAAAGATAAAAAAAATAACGCGTTTTTTTTCAAAAACAAATTTACAAACTGATTTATTGAAACTTTTTAAAAAATGACGGAGTTAAGTTAGTTGGCAATTATTATTATTTTTTTTGTGTAATGATACAAGGCTTATGTGTTTATACACTTAGATATAACTGGTATAAGGCTAAAAAGTATTTATTAGTATTTTAGTGTGAGAAAACTAAATTAAATTAGATTCATGTACCTATTATTTTATCACGTTGTAAATTACATAGGTAAAATATTTATTGATTTGTCTTAATTATGATAGTTTCGTTATCATTGAAATTTAATAAGCTAATGTTAAAAACTATTAGTGTACTATATTATACTGCTATTTGTATACTGATGTCGTCATTTATTTATTTATTTCAGAATCCCTGAGAGAGTACTTTAGTAAGTTCGGAGAAATAACTGAAGTTATGGTTATGAAAGATCCAACGACTCGCCGATCAAGGTAAAATTATATTATTTTTTTATTATTACTTAGCATTTTTTTAATGTATATTTTAAAGCTTTTATTGGGAATAAAAAAACAAAATTGCTTTTTATTATTAACCGAAATAATGAACAAATATGAAGTAATATATTTATCAATTTCTAAATGGATAATTTATTGTATAATTAAATAAAGTATTCATACATCTATTAGAACATGATTCTAGTGAGATTGTACCTTATCAGTTATCAAGTTGATCTGATTATACTGAAATAAGTGATACGTGTGATATGCATGTTGGGCTTAAATATTGAAATAGTATTCTTTTGCTTATATTTTGTATACATGGTTCATACCTACACGAAATATTTTTTTTATGCAGATTCATGAAAATCCCTAAGTACTTAAATTAAACGCATTACTTCCGAACATCCATATATATTATATATACACATATAGATAGATTCACACACACACACACACACACACACACACACACACACACATTTATATTAAATTTAATATATGTAGGTATATTAAGCAACATATAATATGTTAATCGGATTCAAATATAAATCATAATACCTCAATATTGATCGTGATTAAATATATAATAATAACATTTTCGGGAACATCAAACATTTTTTTTTTTAATATTTGAATCGTATTACAACTATAATATTATTACGTATATACGATTTTCCTATGCTTTGAATATATCTAGTTTTTCTATTTAAATTAGTAGTTAAATAATTTTAAAATAATATAGCGAAATCCTTAATATTTTGTTATAAACAACAATAAATATGCATGAATTTATTACACTATAGTATATGAAATCTGATTGTTTTAAATAGTATACATACACATTATATCGATTAAATTAAATAGAGTTTTTGAACACCACCCAGTGGTTTTTTTTTTGCAGCGGATTTGTTTAATAAAAAAAAAGTATTTGAAACAAAAGTTTGTCGTCTTAACATTTTTTAATTTGATTATAATATTAAAGATGTAGTAATATTATGGTTATTGTTTTTAATGGTTTTATAAAATTAAATCTTTGTGTACATTTTATAAAGATTATTCAACTTGTACTATTTTTTTGATAACTTTAGTACATTTTACATTTGAGACTCATCATAAATTAATTGGATTCAAATGCTTATAGTTAGGCATATTCCAACTGAATAATATTTGTCTTGTTTTTGATGCGGAAAAGTTTTCATTCTGTATCTGAAGGATGGTGATGTATAAAAATAGGTTTTTTTTTCAAGGGAAAAGTTTTTTAATTCTTTTAATAAAAGAAGAATTGAAAATTTAATTTTTGGAATAAAAACCTTCATCCATTTGAATGTTATTAGTAACGCGTGTAAAGGTTTAGAGTTTACAATGTGCTCGAGTTTAAATTGAGTGTGGCGTAAATTGATGGGCTGTAAAAGAAAAAATGTGTCGAAGTTGAAAGTTTTTTTCCTGGTTTCTCAGGGATTTACGTTTTTCAATTTAAACTCTAATGAATTGTATAACTTTCCACATATATTTTTGAGAATATTTCTCTACCGTAAAAGTTAAACTTCAAATGCAAACCCCAAATTTATTTAGTGAATATATTATTATTGCATAGAAAAACTTAAAACAATTTTATGGTGGTCCATGTATACTACACAAAATCAAAAGTAGTTCATAAACTATCTGATAATAATTAATTTTTAATTGCTTTTAATCGTCACAATGAGTTTTTTTGGAGTAAAAGATAAGCAAATGGGTCATTTATTAATTGTCTTATAAGTTATAGTATATATTAACTTTTTATACACATTACAAATAATATACTTTATAGTTTATAGCTGCTAGTTAAATAATTTTATTAATAATAAACAAAAAGTAAATTTATTTTAATGGTTTAATTCCATACTGTCATATTTGATCAATACAATAAATACATTATTAAGAATTAAAATATTTCGGCTCTCTTGTATAATATTATAGGTTGCCATAAAATTTAACGCTGGTCGTTATTATAGGCTTAATTTATGTTACATTATCTATCAATCAAATTATTAAAATTTGACATGTTTTTAAAAGAGCAAAATGTATATAAATTATAACTTATATATTATATATATTATTTGATTTTTAAAACATTATGATAACATAATCGTGTGTTTAAAAATGTATTAAAATGTACATAATTGTAAACATTGTATTATCAAGTGCCTGCCAAGGACAGTTTAATAACTTCTTTGATAAATATACAAAAATTTCAAATAATATTATTAAATACGTATTATTATTTTTTATAGTAAATGTAAGACGTTAAAATGAATTAATAGGAGTGTATGATCTTTGTGCGTAAATAACAAGAGGATTAAAAATTGATGAGGTAATGGAAAAAGAGAAATAATAAACTGTTGAGTAGGTCCCGTAATTAAATAAATATTAACTGTGAGTTTTATATTAATTACATCCACATTGCCGCAAGTTTATTCTCCCAGGGGACACTATTCAAAGTAGAAGGCGGGAGATTAATAAGAATGAAATTAATATAAAAAAAAAAAAAAAAAAATTGTAAGTTGAGCAGGAAAAATGGCTATAGCTATTTATCGAGAATGGTGAGCTCTTTAAATTTGTTTATTCGATTTATAATTCATCAGAGCTATAGAAGCTATAGTTTTTGAAAATGTATTAATGTACGCTTTCCAATTTCCATGTTTGTCATTTCCATTTATTATGAACATAATTAATTAGTTAACGATAATTATAATTCTCTGTGTAACAAAATCTTTCAGAGAATAATACAATTCTGATAAAATGAATTGCGGTTAATAAGTCATTAATGTATTTATTTAAATATTTGAAACCATTATAACATTAAAACCACATAATTTTCAAATAAAATAATCGATAGTTAGCATACAATTTAGGTATTTATTTAAGTAATATCAGCATAATGTATTAATTAAATAATATGTATTTTTATACATGATTTAAAAGATTATACAATTTAGATAATTTAAATAATTTACAAATATATACATTTTTGTAAAAAAAAAAAAAAAAACTGAGTGAAACAATGAACGTATTGGTTTTATAATAATTATGGTTTTATTTATTTGTTTGTGTCTGTCATTATATTTTAGAGCATTAAAGTTGTTTAAAAAGTGTATTTTTTAGTAGAATATTTAATTTAGTTGATATTTTGAGTAGAAATTAGAAATTGTACAGTTCTTTTAAGATAATTGTGGGCTACATGTATATTTATGTAACCAACAATATTTGGTTTTGTTTTTGGTTCTTTTTAAGCTACATTTAGAGGCATTTGAAATTTGAAATTTTGTTTAAGTTATTAATTTTTTGTTAAATAATATAATTATTTTGATAAAAATTTGTTTTGTTCAATCAAAAAGCTTAAAAACTTAATATGAGAATACTTATATATTTTTATTATAGTAACCTAAGAAAGAAAAAAAAATATGTATATATACAAACAAATTATTTTTATAGATATTTAAAACATAATTTTATCAAAATTGGACATATAAACAAAAATTAACGATTTTTGTATCATTTTATTATAAAAACTTAAATTAATATAAATTAACACAGAACTAGTTAAAAATAAAAATAATGATGCAAGTTGTATTGTTTCTTTTATATTTTATATCCTGTAAATTGAATAAAATGCGATAAATGTGTACCTATCTATACATGAGCCAAAAGTTTTGTTCCATACAATTTAAATGATTTACTAAAAAGTTTTATATTCATAATTCTAAAATTATTATATGAGTTGGTTCGTGTGTAATTGTGTAAAAACTTTCGATTTCATACCTCTGCCCCATTAGCATTATTTATATATTTAACTTTTCACATATTTTATTGCACAGTACGCAAAAGCATATTATTCTCTCAGAGATACTATATTAGAAACGATGTCTAGAAAATCAGAGAAAACTCAGTACAACAACACTAGAGTATTCTAGCAAGATTAAAAATGGTGGATTTCTAATAACTGTAGGATACCGCAATTCAAAAATTCTCTTGTCCTGATCACCGTATCTAGTTAATTCGGTTGAATGGTTTCTTGTTGGGAATATCTTTTATCAGATTTTCAGTGCATTCTTGTTCATACAATAGTATGAGAAACGAAACTCTGATTTTTGATAATAATGATATTTATACAAATAATAAAAATATAAACGTAACATTATTCTATGAATTTTTTTTGTTCTATATATTATTTAAAATAAAGTAGAATAAATATATTAAAACTATCGGTGCATTTTTAAATACACTTTAAAGTAATTTAACTATTGATTATGGTTTATAATCGAGATTTTTGTAAAAAAAAAAGATAAATTATTTTAAAGGTAAACCAATTGATAGAACAATTCAAGTTATAAAAGTCTTTACTATATTTTATCTTAAAGCTCAGATTGTACATATTTTTTACTAGTACTTGAGTATAATTATTATTTATAACATGTGTAATATTCACTTATTATATTTAATTACTGATTAGATTATACTTAATAAAATAAAATAAATTGATATTTTATTAAAAAAATATATTTTCAGTAAAATTTAAATACAATATATTTAAGATTGAAAATTAAGTTCTAAAAAATAAAGTAATATAAGGTTGAATATATTTTATTCTGAATAAACTAATTTGTTTAGTGGAATAATTTTATCCAAATATTTTAATTTCTACATTTACTCTCTGAACTTTAGAGTAAATTATGATTTATAGTCTTATGTATTTCTTGAATTTGAGAAGATTAGTTTTAGGTAAATGTAATTAATTCCAGTATTAACTATTCAGCTAGAACAAATAGAAATAAAACAATAAGAATATTTTCGAATTTAAATAACTAAATTATTAGTAACAGCGGTGTTAAGTTATAATTTATGATACATACTAATAATTGAGTTTTTGTGCTAATTTTACTTGTTTCATTTATTTAATAACAGTTTACAGTATATAATATAGTTCAACGCATTTATCTGTTTTATTATAT